GAGAACAAGCCCAGTGAGTAGGGGCAGGCAGGCTGGCCTAAAGGACACTATCTGGGGCTCCTGGGACTGGGATTCCTCTGGGCCTTACACGTGTCCCCCATGCCAATTGCAGAGTCAGTGCCCTCACAGGCAGAGATAGAAGCCAGGCTAGCCGCACTGAGGGGTGAAGCCCAGAGTTCCATCCCTTCCACCCAGGAGATGGAGGCACGGCTTGCCGCGCTGCAGGGCAGAGTTCCACCTTCTCAGACCCCCCAGCCGGTGAGTGCTGTGGCTTGAGAGGGAAGGGGGTCCTAGTACATGTGTGCTTAGGTACTCTGTAGGAGCTGACTCCCACCCCCTGATCCTCGGGTCTGCTGCCAGGCCAAGGAACAGGGTCAAGCAGGATTGGATGGGCAGGAAAGAGTGGCTCTGGTCTGGTTGGGGTCTGCCAGACCTACTTAGTTATGTGGATCCTGGATTAGCCCGTTTCCCTGAGCTTTGGGAACTCCTCAGCATTCACTGACAGACTGCTCTGGGCCTTATGGTGTGGCTTCCCCCGTCCCGATCCCCACTGAGGTTCCCTCCTCTGAGCAGGTGCACCAGCCACCAGATCCCAGGACCCAGGCCCAGCAAGCACAGGACCTGCTGACACAGCTCACTGCAGAGGTGGCTATTGATGAGAGCCGGGAAGGAGGAAGCCCAGGTAACTTCTCCTCTTTTTTCCCAAGGGGGGAGAGGCTCTGCTGTCTACTGGGAGGCGGATATATGTAAATCAGAGAACAGTCAACACTATAAGAGCTACCATTTATTGAGTGTCTACTCCTCAGGGAGCCAGTGTAAGCCTAGTGGATAGTGTGTGGACTTTAGAATCGGTCAGTGATTCTCCTACCACTTACCAGTTGTGTGATCCTGGGAATGTCTCACTTTCTTCATCTGTAAAATGGAAGTGTGTGTGTTAAAGCCTACCTTGTGGGGAAGTTTCAAGGAATAAATGAGATTATCCAATTAGCTCTTAGGACCCTGCCTGGCTGTAGTAAGTGCTCAGTGAATGTTCTTTGCAATGATGAAGATAAGGAGGAGGAAGATGCTACTTAAAATTAAATTTAAAATTCTGGCCCTTCAGTGGTACTAGCCACATTTCAAATGCCCAGTTCCACATATGGCTCATGGCTACCATCTTGGACTGCACAAATATAACCATGATATGGAATGTTTCCATCATTATAAAAATTATATTGGACTGTGCTATTCAAAGGCTTCAGAGCAGTGGTTCTCAACCAAGGATGATTTCCCCTCCATGGCCCATTTGACAGTGTCTGGAGACTTTCTGGTTGTCATAAAGTGGAATTTACCACAGGCACCTAGTGAGCAGAAGCTAAGGATGCAGCTAAAACATCATATAATGCACAGGACAGCCCCACAACAAAAAATTATCCTTTCCAAAATGTCAATAGAACCACCATTGAGGAACTCTGCTTTAGAGACACAATCTCATTGAACATCCTCAGTAATTCTATGAGATGCATACTCTTATTATCCATATTTTATAAATGAGGAAACAGGCCTGGTGAGTTTTAAGGAACTAGATCAAGATCACACCGCCATTAAGTAACAAAGCTAGGACTTGAACCCAAAGCTGTCTGCTTTCAAACCTCTTGGTCTGATCTTGAGCTTAAGGGAACATGTCAAAGCCACACCCCCTCTGTCAAAATTCTTCCAGCCTAGTAACAGGAGACCTCAGATTCTGTCATGTCCTCTCTGTGCTGGTCCCTGGAAATGCTGCTTCAGCCGGTAAGGCAGAGGCACTGGCTGAACTTTGGCCTCCCCAAAACCTGATTATTTGGGGCATTGATTCTCGTACCATTTCCCCCCCAATATAAAACACTGGTAATCGTAGAGGTTTTTTCCAACTATATCCATCCCAACCCACCTGATATTCTAACATGCTGTTCTTAGGATTATATTACATCTGGTGTGTAATATAAACAGTAGAAGCTGGTGCTGAACAGAAAGCTGGCGCGCTGGAGGTCTTTATAAAATGTTCAGAAACGGGCTCCGTGGCTTCTGATGAGAGATCTCGGAATAGCTCCGCCTCCCTGACTGCATTGCTCCTTCCAGCTGCCTCAATGCAGAATGACCTCAACCAGGGTTGGCCAGGCAGCCTGAGCGCAAATTCCAAGGGGCAGGCCACCCGGTCCCTGGATGGGGAGAAGAGCAGGCTGCTGGCTGAAGCTGCCTTCGAGCTGCGGGAGGAGAACACGAGGCAAGAGCGGATCCTGGACCTCGCCAAGCGCCTGGCCGTGCTTCGGGGACAGGACCCCGACAGAGGTAGGCCCTGGGGAGCAGCCCCCACACTCGGCAGGTTCTGTGAAAGGGCCGCCCGGCTCAGGCAGGTGCCGGGGGTCTCTGTGCCCGGGGGTTTACCGAGCTCTGCCCTGGGCCACAGGGAAAGTACTGGAGCAAAGCAGCGGCTGAGGAGTAAGGGCAGCCATCAGGGGGCAGGGGACCCTCAGTCCCTTCAGGTGCAGAGCCTTCTGTTCCTGACCCCGAGCCCTTCCGGGTGGAACAAGGAGTGGGAGGCCAGTCAGAATGGCTGCAGAGACTGCTCAGCTCTGGACCAAGTGCCACTGGAAACCAAACCAGCTCCTGGGAGCAAGAGGATAGCCAGTGATGCCCTGGCCGGTGTGGCTCTGAGCGTCGGCCTGCGGACTCAAGGGTCCAAGGTTCGATTCCGGTCAAGGGCATGTACCTGGGTTGCAGGAACATCCCCAATAGGGAGTGTGCAGGAGGCAGCTGATCGATATTTCTCTCTCATCAATGTTTCTAACTCTCGATCTCTCTCCCTTTCTCTCTGTAAAAAATCAATAAAATATATATTAAAAAAAAAAAAAAAAGAGTATAGCTGGTGAACTCTCTCAACTCACTCCTCCCTGCTCCTTCCTCTCTCCCTCTTCAAGTGACCCTCCAAGACTATCGCCTCCCAGACAGTGATGACGATGAGGATGAGGAGGCGGCCATCCAGAGAGTCCTGCGACAGGTGGGCCTGCCTTACCCACTGACCACCCTTTGTCCTGCCCCTGCCTCCCTGTCCCACCACACACCTGGCCCCGTTCATCCTGCCTCCGCTCTGGGTCTGAATGGCCAGTCGCTCTGCAGCTGCTGTTCCAGCTGAGGTCCCTCTGTCCCCATGACCCAGACCTGCCCCTGGCCCCTTGAGATGGGGTGACAGCAGCCATGGGCAACCAATAAGGAAGATGGATTGAGAAGCTAAGGCCACGGCACCTTCAGGGGCACGGGGAGGACCTGGGCCATGAGCAGGGAGCCGTACTCTCTGCCCTGTCCACAGCTCACTGAAGAGGCTGCCCTGGATGAGGCCAGTGGCTTTAACATCCCCGCAGAGCCAGCACTCCGACCCCCGGCCAGGTCCTGCAGGGCAGAGCCTAAGGTGAGAAAAGCCCCGACACAGACTGAGGGGCCTCCGCAGCCTCCCCTCTCACTGGCTGATGCTCTGGCAACAGCCACCCCACCCATTCCCCCATTCCTGCTGCTCACCGAAGGCCCAGGCCACGGCCCCCAGGCCCGAGGCTGAGGAAGAGCCGCTCCCCTGGTGCTGCATCTGCAATGCGGACGCCACCTTGCGCTGTGCTGGCTGCGACGGAGACCTCTACTGCGCCCGCTGCTTCCGGTGGGTACAGGGAGGGTGTTCTGTGGGGCTGGGGGTGCCCCAGGGCGACCTGTGACCCCTGACCTGTTTCTCTTTTGCCACAGGGAAGGCCATGACGCCTTTGACCTTAAAGAGCATCAGACATCTGCTTACCACCCCCCACACGCAGGCCAAGCACACTGAGGAAGCCCTGGTCCTCCCAGGAAGGTCGTCCTGCAGGCAGTCACACAGGCCGGGGCACCCACCTCTGGGCCCAGACTCGGGGCCTCTGACGGGAGAGCACTTCGAGCCAGACTGCTCCTGGGTGCACCCCTTCCTGAGCCTCGATGTCCACGGAGGGGGAAAGATTCTGCATTGGAAACGATGGCTGGAGGAGCCAGAGGGAAGGCAGAAGTGAGGAGCCTTACGCCAGCAAAGCCTGGGCTGGGAAGACCAGACTGAATCTAAGAATGAGTCTGGAACCTGCTCAAGGGCCCCAGCACTTCATGTATCAAATAAAGTATGTTGAGTCCTTGGGCCCAGCATCGTTGATCTCTAGAACCTGTGGGCCCTGAGCCTGGGTCCGGGGAGAGGTGGCGAAGCAAAGGAGGCTGTAAGTCCAGTCCTCCGGAGTGAGGGAGAGGATCGACCCCCATGTCAGATTCTCCTGTCAGGAGCAGTGCTGCCCGCCTCAGAGGCCTCAGAGACCGGAGGCATGCATATTTGTTCAACTGGACGGAAGTGTGGGTCCTGCTCTGGGTAGCCCACCTTAGCCCCAGCCCCCACTAGGGTGGATCCTCGGCCTCTCTAGTACTCAGAGCCGAATGCACAAGCAATGGAAGCACACCCTGCTTTCTGCCTTACTCCCAAACGCCACCAACTTCCAGGGCTCCTGCCATTCTGACTCGGTGTCTGTTGCTAGCAACTCCCTCCTGACCTGACCCCTGGCCTGAACCCTCTCTGCTTAGCCCCTGCTTTTTCTCTTCCCCCAGCTGGAGCAAGCTCTGGAAAGAGTCCTCGGCCTGAGGCCTCCCGCCTCACCTAGCGGGGCAGGAGGTTTCAGCCTCCCCTGATGTCCCAGACCCAGATGGCTTTTTCCTGTTGCCTCTGGGACTCAAAACTAGTCTTTGCAGCTTGGGTCCTGTTGATGACGACAGGGTGCTTTGTGTCTTAGCCTCAGGGCCTTGCTAGAACTGTGATCTCTGAAGCAGAACTCTGACCTTCATTTTTAAATTCTCAGATTGGATGGGTGGATGGATGGATGGATGGACGGACGGACGGATGGTGAGGTATGAAGATAGAATGTACCATGATGCTTGCCTCCTGGTAAAGCACTTCACCCTCTCCCTCCCCTCAGCACAGATATGTCCACACTCCATTCAGCCGGGACTCCTAAAGGTTTTATCCATTTGGCTGTGAAGGAAAACACTGGGCAGCGGCCATGACGCTCCCAGAAAGCCCAACTGACAAGAACTAGCTGTGAGTACATACAACAGGGGTGGCCACATGTGACCTCATCTTCCAATGTTCCTTGTCCATGTCCCAAGGAGCCACTTCCCTCTCAGCTCAGGATCCAGAGGCTCGGGGCAGGCCTGACAGCGCTAAGGCTGCTGAACGTAGTCTCACAAGTCTTATTTCTGGGGCCGACTGAGTCTCCGGAGTTTCTTGATTTGACTGAGCAGTTCGGAGATAAAAGGCTGAAGAAGAAATGGGTGAGATCAAGGCATGGAGTCACACCCACCACCATACTGTCCTCCCTAATATCTGCCTTACCCCGTCTCCTGGAGCCAGGGAAGGGAGAAAGATGCAGGCCCAAGCTTTCCTTTCATTAGTTTCCTCCCCACTGGGCCTCCCCTTACCCACAGAACAGCAAAGCATCCTTACCTCTGTGGGGCTGGGACAGTCTCGGAGAAGAGCCTGGGTAGAAGAGAGCAGACAGTGGGTCCTGAGCCACCGTACTTTCCCACAAGCCCCCACTCAGTCTCCCAGGAATTCCCTCTGATTTGGTTCTCCTACTCTACCCAAGGAGGCAGAACCTGGGTTCCTAGGTTCCCCTTAGTCCAAGCCCAGCTTCCAACCCCAAACCCTGGCCCCAGGATCCAGCCCCCATTCTACCTCCAAATGAGTTTTCTGCTCCTCTGTGGATAGTTCTATGAGAGCTTCCAGGTCAATCTCCGGCTCGGAAGAGGTTGGTTGATCCTGTTTGGGAATCACAGGGGGCTCAGAGAGGCCTGGCCAGCTAGTGCTGGAGTGAAAGTTACTGTCAGGGGCTCACCCGTTCCCCACTCTATTTTCCATGTCCAGTTCCTCTCGTCTTCAAACCACACATTCATCCTGCCATAACAGTTACTGGACACCTACTGTGATCTACCAGAACAGCCCTAGAAGTCTTTAAAAAGAGTATCTGTTTTAATTTTAAAAGTTTTATATATATTGTTGGTAGAGAAGTAAACAGTGCAGCTGCTTTGGAAAAGTTTGGTCGTTCCTTAAAATGTTAAATATATATATTTATCATCTGACCCAGCAATTCCACTCCTAGGTCTGTTCCCAAAAGAAATGAAAACACATGTCCACACAAAAAATTTTCTCATGAACGTTCATAGCGGCATCATTTATACTAGCCAAAAAGTCTAAACCCAAATGCCCATCAACTGATGAATGGATAAATGAAATATGATGTAGCCATGCAATGTTACTCATCAATAAAAGGAACAAAGCACTGATTCATGCTACAACATGGACGAAACTTGAAAACATTGTTAGTGAAAGAAACCAGTTATAAAAGGCTACATATTATATGATTCAACTTGTATGAAATGTCCAGAATAGATAAATCTATGGAGACACAAAGTAGATTAGTAGTTTCTTAGGGTTGGAAATGGTGGCGGTAGAGAATGAGGTATGACTGCTAATGGGTCCAGGGTTTCTTTAAGGGGTAATAAAAAGGCCAAAAATTAGATTGTGATGGTTGTACAACCATTTGAAGATATTTAAAATATGAAATTTCCCACTTTGAGTGGTGAATTATATGGTATGTGAAATAAAGAGTTATTATAGTCGCCCTAGCTGGTTTGGCTCGAAGGATAGAATATCAGCCTGTGGACTGAAAGGTCCCGGGTTCAATTCTGGCCAAGGGCACATGCCTGAGTTGCAGGCTCAATCCCAGTAGGGGGTGCGTTGATCAATAATTCTCTCATCATGCTTCTATCTCTCTCTTTCCCTCTCCCTTCCTCTTTGAAATCAATAAAGATATACTTTTAAAAAGTTATTATGGTCATTGAAAAAATTTAACTACAGAGGTTATAAAATTGAAGATAAAAGAAACTCAAGAGAATAAGAAGACAAGCCACAGATTGGGAGAAAATATTTGCAAGAGATATATCTGATAAAAAAATAAATAAATAAATAAATAAATAAAAACACACAAAAAAACCCAAAACCTTCTTACCCAAAATATACAAAGAAACTCATAAATAAGAAAAGAACAATTTAAAATGGGCAAAAGATCCGACCAGATGCCTCACCAAAGAAGATACACAGGTGGCAAATAACAGCTGAGAAGATACTCAATATTACAATTAGGGAATTGCAAATTAAATCAAAATTAGATACCACTGAACACCTATTAAAATGGCAGAAATCTAAAACACTGACAACACCAAATGCTGGTGACGATGCAGAGCAACGGGAACTCACATTCATTGCTGGTGGGAATACAAAGTGGTACAGACACTGGAAGACAGTCTGTTTCTTACAAAACGAAACACAGTCTTACCATACAATCCAGCAAGTGTGATCCTTGGTATTTACCCAAATGACTTGAAAACATTTCCACACAAAAACCTGCACACAAATATTTATAGGAAGTTCATCATAATTGTCAAAACTTGCATGTGACAAAGATGTTCTTCGTAGGTAGAAGGATAATGAACTGTGGTGCGTCCAGACAATGGAATATTACTCAGCATTAAAACAAAATGAGCTGTCAAGCCATGAAAAGACAGGGAGGGCCCTAGCTGTTTTGGCTCAATGGATAGAGCGTCGGCTTGTGGACTGAAGGGTCGCGGGTTCGATTCCGGTCAGGAGCACATGCCCAGGTTGTGGGCTTGATCCCAAATAGGGGGGTGCAAGAGCCAATCAATGATTGTCATCATTGATGTTTCTCTCCTTTACTCTCTGAAATAAATAAAAATGTTTAAAAAATAAAATAAAAAGGAAAGACATGGAGGGCCCTAACCGGTTTGGCTCAGTGGATAGAGCGTTGGCCTGGGGACTCTCGGGTCCCAGGTTTGATTCCGGTCAAGAGCATATACTTTGGTTGTGGGCGCATCCCCAAAAGGAGTGTGCAGGAGGCAACTGATGGATGTTTCTCTCTCATCAATGTTTCTAACTCTCTATCCCTCTCTCTTCCTCTCTGTAAAAAATTAATAAAATATATTTTTTAAAAAGACATGGAGGAACCTTAAGTGCACATTACTAAGTGAACGAAGCCAATCTAAAAAGTCTACAGGTTGTATAATTCTAACTATATGATATTTTGGTAAAGGCAAAGCTATAGAGACAGTGAAAAGATCAATGGTCACCAAGGCTGTGGGGAGGCTGGGATGAACAGGTGATACACAGAGAATCTTCAGGGCAGTGAAGCTATTCTGTATGATATTAGTGGATACATGTCAATATACATGTGTCAAAACCGCAGAATGCATAACACCAAGAGTGAATCCTAATATAAAATATGGAATTCGGGTGATTACGATGAGCTGGTATAAATTCATCAGCTGTGACAGGTGCACTGCTCTGTGGGAGATGGAAGGACGGGAGACTATACATGTGTGTGGGCAGGAAATAATGGAACTCTGTCCATTCTGCTCACTACGGCTGTGAACCTAAAACCGCTCTAAAAATCAAAGTCTACTTTCTAAAAAAGATGGGAGCTTAGGTCCGAGATTTAATAAGCTTAATAATTTTTGCTGCTTCATCAAGGACTTCCACAAGTGAAAGTGAAAGTGGCACGGTGGTGAAGAACATGATTACTAATACAGGTTGGTGTCAATTTTCTTTTTACTTATTTATTTATTATTTTTTTAATATATTTTTTTATTGATTTTTCACAGAGAGAAAGGGAGAGGGATAGAGAGCCAGAAACATCAATGAGAGAGACACATCGACCAGCCACCTCCTGCACACCCCCCACCAGGGATGTGCCTGCAAGCAAGGTACATGCCCCTGACTGGAATCGAACCTGGGACCCCTCTATCCACTGATCCAAACCGGTCTCGGCTCACTTTTTTTTTTTTTTTTAATTGAGGTGACATGGGTTAACAGAATTAAATAGATTTCGGGTGTACAATTCTATAATCTGTTCACCACCCCAAGTCAAGTCTCCTTCCATCACCATTTATCTCCCCTTTACTCTCTTCTACATCCTCCCATCCCTTCTCCCTCTGATAATCACCATACTGTGTCTATGAGGAGGTTTTTTTCTTCTTCTTTTTTTTAATTCCTTCACCTTTTTCACCCAGCCTGCCAGCCTCCCTCCCCTCTGACATGCGTCAGTCTGTTCTCTATATCTATGAGTCTATTTATATTTTGTTTGTTAGTTTTGTTCATTAGACTCCACATATAAGTGAACTCATTTAGTACTTGACTTTCTCTGACAGGCTTATTTCACTTAGCATAATACTCTCCAGATCTATCCATGTTGTTGCAAAAGGTAAGATTTCCTTCTTTTTATGGCCAACTAGTATTCCATGGTGTAAATACACCACAACTTCCTTATCCACTCATCTACGGATGGACACTTGGGCTGCTTCCAGGTCTTGACTACTGTAAATAACACCCAATAAACATAGGGTGCGTGGTGTCACGTTACTGATTCACTCTAAGAGCCATCATTGCTTTCGCATTATCAGTACAAGTGTCAACATAGTGAAAGAGGCGAACAACATCTTAGTATTGTTGTGAAAATAATCATGGGCTCCCTGACATGGTCTTAGGAACCCCTGGAGTCACCAGACCACACTTCAAGAACTGTTGCCTTATCTATTTGTCTATTAGGTTTGTTCAGTTTTTTCTTACTGATTAAAAAAAATAAGATTAGCCCTAGCATTCCACATAGAATTATCATTTGTTCAGAAGGGTTTGGGGAAATAGGTGTATGTGTTTAAATAGTTAAATCTAATGGTCTTTTCCAGTTTAGGTTTTGCTTCCTTTTTATTTTATTCTTAACAAGTTCTTTCCACCAAAACCGGTTTGGCTCGGTGGATAGAGCATCGGCCTGCAGGCTGAAAGGTCCCAGGTTTGATTCCGGTCAAGGGCATGTACCCTGGTTTTGGGCACACCCCCAGTAGGGGGTGTGCAAGAGGCAGCTGGTCAATGTTTCTCTCTCATCAGTGTTTCTAACTTTCTATCCCTCTCTCTTCCTCTCTGTAAAAAAATCAATAAAATATTTTTTTTAAAAGTTTTTTCCATATTGATGTGGATATTTTATATTCACCTTTACAAACTTCACCTTTTTCATTAATAATTTGGAATAATAATAATATTAATTTGGGATAATATTAAATATGTGTCAAGTGGCTACTGTGAACTTGGGAAATTCAGTGAACAAAACAAAGAACCTGCCCTCAAAGAGCTTACGTGTTAGGATGAAAGGACCATCTTAGAACCCTGGCTCTGTTTTCATAAACAAAATAGAAATAGATGTACTAAGTAATCAAGTTGTGTAATTCAACTAAAAATAAAGGCTATTGGAGGAACTTTTTGGACTATGGAAATGTCCCATATCTTGATTGGGGTATTGGATACATTATAGCAAAGTACATTCATATGTAGACTTTATTCTATAATAGATTTTAAAAAATATTTTTTATTGATTTCAGAGACAACTTAACAGTTTTGGTCCTTCCTTTCCTTTTTCAAAAGGAACAGTGCTAGGTGTCTAAGATAGCTCTTTCATCCTAAGCTCCAGACTTCCCCTTTTGCTGCCTTGGTTTCTAGTTCATCTGATTCAGCGTTCATTCATTTAATGCAAATTTATTGAGAGAATGCTGTACACCAAGCATTGTGATGAATACCGGGGTTATAATTGCAGGACAGACAGACATGATCCTGTCCTTGAAAAGCTTATTGTCTCCTGAGGGATATGGACAGGTGAAAAGGCAGTTGCAATAGGGTGGTAAGCACGCTGACGAGATACTTTGGGAGAATATGGAAGGGAAACCTAACCAAGCCTGGGGTTTAGGAAGGCTTTCTGAAGGAAGTGACCAGAGGCTGAGTAAGAGCCAGATATGTAACTCTGGTCTTGATGGAGTAGCAGGGACCAGATTTATTCTCCCAACATAAGCACTGGAACACTAAACAAGAATATATGAACAGTGTTTTCAGATATTGGACAAGAAGTAGCTCAAAAATACCCAAGAGAGAAGGGAAGTGAAAGAAGTAACCTCTAGACTTGCCCAGAATTGCTTTCTAGGGGCCATTTCCAGACCACAGAGCTTAGAGGGAGATTCCAAGCAGAGCACAGCAGTCCTGCTAAGTTGATATGACAGAGATCAGAATTCAGGGTTGAGGTGACTGGAATTTGCTGGACAAAGTTCTGGAGGTGGTTATAAAGAAAATAACCTTCAGCCGGACTGATTTGGCTCAATGGACAGAGCGTCGGCTTGGGGACTGAAGGGTCCCGGGTTTGATTCCGGCCAAGGGCATGTACCTTGGTTGCGGGCACATCCCCAGTAGGGGGTGTGCAAGAGGCAGCTGATCAATGACTCTCTCTCATTGATGTTTCTAACTCTCTATCTCTCTCCCTTCTTCTCTGTACAAAAATCAATAAAATATATTTTTTTTTAAAAGAAAATAACCTTCAGAAATCTGCATAAGAGGGTCTCTTAAGTCTGCTGAACACAAGATGCACAGTCGTTGGGTAAAACCATGAGAGACTGAAAGCGCAGAGATGAACAGTTCCCAGACCTCACAGAGGTGTGGAGACAAATCAAAGCCCACCGGCCAGCGCAGACAGTCAGCGCGGACCATGCAGGGATTCAGTACAGACCTCAGAAGGGCCACGCTTCACTACGGGGTGAGTTATTCTCAGATTAAAGGCAACTCTAGACTAATCCTAACAGAGCTTACACACAAGCCTCAGCAGAACCACAAGTAACTAAACTTCCTACTAGGATAAAGCCCAACATTCTTTAAAGGGAGGGGAGGGAATCCAGTTACTCAACAACATAATTTATTCTACAGTTCAGTATCCAGGCAAAAACCACTAGCCATGGCAAGAAGCAGAAAATGTTCCTAAGAGGAAGATCAATCAATAGAATCAGACCCAGAAATGACAGAGAGGATGGAATTAGCAGACAAGGAAAACGTGAACACGGTAATGATGAAAATGGGAGATCTGAGAAAGAACCAAACATCTAGAGGTGAAAAATACAATATTTTAAATGAAAAATTTACTGGATGGAAATAACAGTGTTTTTAAAATAGGAGAAACTTATGAGTGTTTAAGCCCCTGCTTAGTAGCCAAACCCACACTCCCACTCTGGACAACAGGAGCGCCCGCGCCCCACATCTGTTTGTTTGGGTTGGATCCAGACTTGCTTCCTCTGAAGAACCCAAAGCAGGCCGTACACCCAGTGAAAAGAGGTGGGCCCTTCATCAAAGGGAGGTTGGGTCCCATTAAAAAAATCTAAACAGGCCCTAACTGGTTTGGCTCAGTGGATGGAGAGTCAGCCTGCGGACTCAAGGGTCCCAGGTTCAATTCCCGTCAAGGGCATTTGCCTTGGTTGCAGGCACATTCCCAGTAGGGGGTGTGCAGGAGGCAGCTGATTGATGTTTCTCTCTTATCGATGTTTCTGACTCCCTCTCCCTCTCCCTTCCTGTCTGTAAAAAATCAATTAAAAAAAATATATATATATATATATATATTTAAAAACTAAACAAGTAGTGATGCATCCCTGGAACCATTTCCAGTTGAGCCATTTAAGGTGGACATGTAAGGAGAGCCTGGGTGGGTGGAAAGGGGCCCAGGGAAATTAGAACTGGAGTCGGGTAAGTCTGGAGGCTCTGTGGCTTCCACCTCTGCCCAAGGTGCTCAGCCACTTGGGGCTTCCCCAGTCACTGGCTGCTTCCGGATGAAAAGAGCAGGGATTGGGAGCAGAACTGCCACCTGCACCTTTGGACAAGCACCATGGCAACTGCAGGCCAGGTATTTTATTTCAGTCATTGCCTGGGAGCGGTCCTCCTACATATCCTGTTGGAAATGTTATAAACTCCTTATTGTACAGCTTCCCCCCACTACCCTCCCTCCCTTAATCTTGCAAAACAAGTTTTGGCTAGTATCTTCCTTTGATCTCCAGAAGGACTTGCCCTGAGGTGTCTGAAATATGAGACTTTTCATGCAAGTGCACAGCAATCTGAAATGGAAGCTGATCCAGAGAGAGGGTGCTGGCAGGAGTGACCGGCACAGGAGGTGTCCTGCAAGGTCAGAGCAGACTCGGGCCAAGAAAGTTTGCCTCTCCCGCTCCCAGCGTCAAGACATCTGCCACCTGCCCCAGGATGCACCTGGTCCAAGCAGCCACATGACCCAGTGAGCTCACAAGGCAGCGTGGGCCACATGGCGACTCCTCCCCACCCAACCACAGGGGGCTTTCCTGGAAGAATCACAGGCCTTTCCTGGAAGAATCATAGGCCCTTGCTTAGAGAGAAAGAGAGAGAGAGAGAGAGAGAGAGAGAGAGAGAGAGAGAGAGAACTGAATCAAGAAAGAGGAGAAATAAGGACCATGGTATGAGGACAAGGCAGACTTGTAGTTTCTGGCTGGTTCAGTGGCTCTCTGCCAGCCACATGCTAGCATCACTGTGGAGCTTATGAGAAAGACCAGTGCCTGGGCCCCACCCTAGCAGATTCTAATTAAGTTCAGTTGAGGTGCAGCCAGGACACTTCCCCCCTGAAGTACTTCAGGTGTGTGGAGAACCACTTAATGCAGAAGTGCGTGCTCAGGCTCTGCGGGCAGAGTCCGGCCGCAGCCCTGAGTGCCGTGGCTTCCGAGCTACTCAACATCGCCAGGCTTCCATGTCCTCCAGGTGAGATACTACCCATCTAACGGAGTCGTGGGGGGTGGGGGTGTGTGAATGAAATAACGCACATCAAATGCTGGCACAGGGCCTAGCAGGTGCTTCAGTGCTCAAAATGTGCTCTTGTTAAAGCAGTGGTTGCTACTACATCAGGATCCCAATGTGGAGCTGGCTGAGTACTTCCCATGACAAGGGACCATGACCCATCCTTTGCCCTGGGGGAACGGAGGGTAGTCAGTGAGAACCAGGACAAGCCAGACCAGCTGCCGGCGTCAGTGCCGGTCACTCTGATGTTCTGGCCCCGTTCTGTTCATTCTGAAATGAGGAACATGTTCTAGATCTGTGCGGACAGATATGTCTGTAGCCACTAGCCACATGGGGCTTTTGGGTAGTGTGACTGAGACACTGAACTTTGAATATGATTTAATTTTCATTAATTTGAAGTTAAATAGCTACACGTGGCTCATACCTACAGTACTGGACCGTGTAGCTCTAGACGTGCATATACGTTGAGGATAAGAGTAAAGAAACACATAAAAGAAAAGAAAAAATAGCCCTTCTATTACCTTGCTTGGGCATCAGAACGTCGTAAAAGGCGGAATTGACAGGCCCAGGTTTTTACAGCCCCGTTTTATAGATTAGGAAACCAAGTCTCTTTGATGGTAAAAGACATGCCCCGGATTGTGAGGAGTTAGAGGCAGAGCCCAGAGCAGAGGGGCCAGATTTCTGGGCTGCAAGCGCACGCTCCGCCTGTTGGGAAGAGCGATCTCTCCATGGGAGCATCGCATCCACCCTCCAGCTCCTCCTGACTTTTCCTCAGCTCCCCGGCCAGGCTTCAAGCTCCTGCTTCCCCCTCCCTCCCCCACGCTACCCACCTGGAAGAGCTCCTGAAGCTTCTTGTCCACCCACTGCTCCAGGTCCACCCAGCGCTGGAGCTGCCCGCGGTCATACTTCACCGTCAGCCGGCTCGGTCTCCGGGACCTGGGCACTTTGGAGGGGTCGGCGTGGGACTTTGACTCTGAGTCTGTGGATGACGTCCTCCTCTTCCCAGAAGCCCACTGGACCCTCTTACTTGAGCTCTCCCTGTCGGGGTTGGGAGAGGTGCAGGCGTCAGGGTTTGAAGGCAGCATGGGAGGAATGGCCGGGGCAAGGAGCTGGGATACACTGCCAGTCAGAGCCTGGGTGCCAGGGAACTGAGGAAACCGGGAAACAGAGACCGGCAGGGAAGAAGGGTGGGAGGGGCGGGGGGGGGGGTCAAAGATCAACAACAAGTGCTGGAAATAAATGCCAGACGCCTGGCTCCTGGCGGCCAGTGAATGGCACTCCTGAGCTGAGCTGTGCCCTAGCCTCCCTTTCTAGCAGCCGTAGAGGCTCCCATGTGACGTAAGCTGCAAAGGAGCAAAGGTCAAGAGGGTGCCATGCCTCGGGAGGGGGCAGGGGCCCTGGGGCCCTGGGGCCCTGAGGGGTGTGGGTCAGTGATCTGTGCTCTATGACCAGCTCTGAGATAGGACCAGAGTCACACTCACCCAAGAACCTGCTGCAGCCAGGACACTGGTGTTTTTTTCCCAGAAGTACCGCCTGGGACCTCGTCTACCTGCGGGCGGGCGGATGGACCTGCAGGAGCAGTGTCCCTGGCAGGAAGGAGCTCCTGCTCAGAGATTGGCCGTCTCGGAGGGGTGCTTATCTGTGGTCCCCATGGAGTCAGTGCCCTCTTGTGTCTGGGTGTGTCTGCATGTGAGCCGCCTTTAGGAATATGTGAGGGAAGGGGCTCCTGTGTTAGCCAGGCCCAGTGTGCTTGCAAAGGCAATTTATCAAGCCTGTCTCCTTTTTCCAGAGGCAACTGCTTAGGAAGCCATGTTTATCATCACATGACCCTCCCCTGACTCACGTCCCTCCTGACAGAGGAAACCTGCAGACTAACTTTTACCCAGGTATCAAGGCCTACTCCTTCTACACCTGCTTGTACTCTAAATGAATGGTGTTGCCCTGGCTGGTTTGGCTCAATGGATGGAGCTTTGGCCTGCAGACTGAAGGGTCCCGGGTTCGGTTCTGGTCAAGGGCACATGCCTGCGTTGTGGGCACGGTCCCCAGTAGGGGGCTTACAGGAGGCAGGCAATCAATGATTCTCATCATTGATGTTTCTATCTCTCTCCCTTCCTCTCTGAAATCAATAAAAATGTTTTTTTTAAAAATAAAAGAATGGTGGTTTTGTTTGTCTAGTTCTTTGTAACAAAAATATCTAAACTTTTTAGAAAAGTTACAGGACACTAACTTTTAAAAATTGATTTTTAGAGAAAGGAAGGGAGAGAGAGATAAACACCGACTTGTTGTTCCACTTATGCATTTATTGGTTGATTCTTATATGTGCCCTGACCAGGGATCAAACCCACAACCTTAGTGTATCAGGACAATCTCTAACCAACTGAGCTACACAGCCAGAGTTAATTTTTTTTTTTTTAATGAAAAGCTCAGAAGGACAAACAAATGAAACGTTCTCTTCTTTCTCCAAATCCTCTTTCCAGAGGCAATTGCCATCAACAGCTTGTCTTTAGTTCTCCTGTAATCACCATTATTCTTTTACGCAACACCATAAGTATGTCCGTTTTTGTCACTATCTCTTCTCTCCTTAATCTGAAGGATAGATCTTCACTAATTCCATCTCTTTTGCTTCCACATCCCAATTTTCGTTTATATATTACTTTTGAGGTCTGGTAGCAGTTGCCTTTATGTTGAGTTTCTGTTTCCAATGTATGGGCTTCCACCATCATACTGTACGCGGACTCCTAAAAGACAGCTTTAGACAGAGGCCAACCAATGAGTCTTTTTTTTTTTTTTAGCAGTTTTTTAAAAACATATTTTATTGATTTTTACAGGGAGAGAGAAACATCAGCTGCCTCCTGCACACACCTCACTGGGGATGTGCCCACAACCAATGTACATGCCCTTGCCCGGAATCGAACCTGGGACCCTTCAGTCTGCAGGCCGACGCTCTACCACTGAGCAAACCGGCTTCGGCTCAGCTTTTTCTTGCATGGGTTTCACAGCTCTTAAAGTTTGCTGTCTCGAATTTGGAAACAGCCTAGGTGCCCGTCAGCAGATGATTGGATCCAAAAACTATGGTACATCTACACAATGGAATACTATGCTGCCATAAAGAAGAAGGAATTCTCATCATTTGCAGCAACTTGGATGGAATTGGAGAACATCATGCTGAGTGAAATAAGCCAATCAATGAAAGAGAAACACCACATGACCTCACTCATTTGTGAATAATAAAGATCATTATAAACTGATGAACCAAAAGATAGATACAGAGACAGTAAAGCAACAAGCAGATTGTCAAATTTCAGTGGGGGAGGGGAGGAGGATCTGGGGGAGATAATAGATCAACTGAAGGACTTGTATACATGCATATAAGTACAACCAATGGACATAAAGCTCTGGGGAGGGAGGGGATGGGTGGGAGGGAAGGAGGGGGGAAAATAAAATAAAATTAAAATTAAAAAAATTAATTAATTAATTAATTAAAAAGTTTGCTGTCTCATCTGCAAAATGGGGTTTGAGAAGGGTTAAATGAGATGATAGACATAAACATTTAGCCTGGTGTCCAAAAAGAGTTCCTTCTTAGTAGACAGTCATTCCCTCCTTTCTCCCCTTCCCATTCTCCCTGCCTTCCTGCTGAGGCTCTGCATCTGAAATGCTGGCCCTGGGACTTCTCAGCCACTTCCTTCCTGGGCCTCTGTGGAGGGGGTGGGAATTAGCAAGGATAGGGGAGCCTCTAAAATGCATCCTGCAGACTCTCCTGTCACTCTGACACTGTGACGGGCAGTCCCCTCTCCCTGCTGCTTCCTGTCTTCTGAAGGACTTGAGAACCTTTCTGGGAGAGGAAGCAGGTGAGAGGAGGCCGTGGGTTTTGTTCATTCGTCACCTCATTCACTTAACAAAGGCTTTATGAGCTCCTCTCGCAGGCCAAACACTATGTCAGCACCAGGATGGCTGATCCAAAAGAGACACAGTTCCTGCCTTTATGGAACTCACCATCTAGTATAAAAATAAACAAACATGCCGAAACCGGTTTGGCTCAGTGGTAGAGCGTCGGCCTGCGGACTGAAAGGTCCCAGGTTTGATTCCGGTCAGGGGCATGTACGTTGGTTGTGGGCACATCCCCGGTAGGGAGTGTGCAAGAGGCAGCTGGTTGGTGTTTCTCTCTCATCGACGTTTCTAGCTCTCTAGCTCTTTCCCTTCCTCTCTATAAAAAATCAATAAAAATATATTTAAAAAAATAAACAAACACTTATCAGCTAATAAATAAATATAAAATGGCAACAGTATTTAGTGATCTAAAGAAAAAGGTGTGATAAGGTGTCATGTAGTGAGTAATAACATTTGAACTGAATTTTTTAAAAATATATTTTATTGATTTTTTACAGAGAGGAAGGGAGAGATACAGAGTTAGAAACATCGATGAGAGAGAATCATCGACCAGCTGCCTCCTGCACACCCCCTACTGGGGATGTGCCCGCAACCAATGTACATGCCTCTGACCGAAATCGAACCTAGGACCTTTCAGTCCGCAGACGGACGCTCTATCCACTGAGCCAAACCGGTTTCGGCATGAACTACATTTTTTTAAAATATATTTTTTATTGTTTTTTTTTATGGAGAGGGATAGAAGTTAGAAACTATTTTATAGATGAGAGAAACATTGATCAGCTGCTTCCTGCACAGTCCCTACTGGGAATGTGCCTGCAACCAAGGTACATGCCCTTGACCAGAATCAAACCTGGGACCTTTTAGTCTGCAGGCTGATGCTCTGCCAGGCGTCTTCAAACTACGGCCCGCGGGCCACATGCGGCCCGCAGAGGAGTCTGATCCGGCCCGCCAGGTTTTTTGGGCAGTGAGCGCAGCCGAGGTGTTACAGTAGGAATTAGTAGTTCATATAGTCCGGCCCTCCAGCTCTCTGAGGGACCGTGATCTGGCCCCCACTTTAAAAAGTTTGAGGACCCCTGCATCCACTGAGCCAAACCAGTTAGGGCTGAACTGAATTCTAAAGGGTGAGTAGGTGTGAATTAGGCACAAGGGCCAGCAGGAGTGGACCTGGCAGAAGGCAGACCATAAGCAAAGCCTCTTGACAAGAAGGAGATGATGAGTACAGAGGACAGAGAGTCCAAGGGACAGGATCAGAAAGGAGGGGAGCCATGAGCACAAGGTGTGAAAGTACGTAGTACACAGGGTCCGGTGAATCATGTTAAGGCATTTTATCTCTAGTCTAAGAGCCTTGGGAATCACTGCAAAATCTTAAGCAATGGTGGTTGGGCAGGCTGACATATTCCGATTTACATTTCTAAAAGATCACCCTGGCCATTGAATAGAGAGAAGATCAGAGGGTGCAGAAGGGCTGGAGGAGACCAATTAAGAGGCCATGGCTAGACGGGCTGCGGGGGCGGGGAGGCGCGGCGATAGAGGCGGAGGGCGGGCGAGGCGCGGGCCACGGCGGGCCGGGCTGCCGCTGCCAGGTCCGGGTGCCGGGGGCCGCCGCGGTGGGGAGACCTCGCTGCTGCGGCGCTTCCTGGCGGGAGCGGCGGGGAGCCCGGAGCCGGGCGGGCGGGCGGCGCCCAAGCCGCAGCTCTGGGACACGGCGGGCCAGGAGCGCTTCAGTGCATCACCAGGTCCTTTTACCGGAATGTGGTGGGTGTCCTGCTGGTCTTCGATGTGACAAACAGGAAGTCCTTTGAACACATCCCGGACTGGCACCAGGAGGTCCTGGCCACCCAGGGCCCCACAGGGCAATCTTCCTGCTCCTGGGCCACAAGAGCGACCTGGAGAGCGCCCGCTGCGTCTCGGCCCAGGAGGCAGAGGCGCTGGCTGCCTCCCTGGGCATGGCCTTCATGGAAACCTCAGCCAAAAACAACTGCAACGTGGACCTAGCTTTCCAGACTCTTGCCAACGCCATCCAGCAGGCCCTGCAGCAGGGGGACATCAAGTTGGAGGACAGGCCTCCAGTGCCCAGGCTCCCCAGCAGGAAGTGGCATGCAGGCCCGTGACAGTGTTGACTCCGGGAGGAAAAGGGTTAAAACAGTGCCAACCTCAGACGCTGGTGGGATGGAGACTGTCTCTCCAAAGGGCAGATGGCGGAATCTACCCAAAGGGTTCATATAAACAATGTCCTGGCATCGTCATGGCTCCTGGATTTTGGGTCTCAGAGCTCAGCCCCTTTGCACCAGGA